CCCGTGGGTGTTTCTAAGGCGCTGGGGGTCCGGACCGTTCCTTCTTCAGTGGGGACCTTTGTCGTCGCATTCAGAGTATTGCGGGGAGTCTAGATCTGGTTTAAAAAGCTCTGACAGGAGGAGGGGTTTTTTTTTTCTTTCCTCCAAAAAATGCTATGTTGTTGCGAGGGAAATGTCTTCAGGGGCGTCGATCCTTTTTACTTGAAAATATGTTTTGCTTTCTTAAAGTTGGTAATGTCAAGACGTTTAGAGCCAGTAAGATGAAGGAGTGTTATTTTGGCCCTTCTTTTACATTAAGAAGTTAATTTATTGTGATGTGTTATTATGATTAATAACATCATGTCTACAATGTTAGTTCTGCTTTTATATCGGGCTTAATAAACTCAAAAGGGAAAAATGTAAATGTCAGAGTGAAGCAGTCCAATCTTAGCTAAAAATACCTAATGCTTTTCAACAAAGGTTTCAAAGTTAAGGTGTTCAAAAAAAGCAGGAATTTTCACCCACTGTACGTGCAAATCCACCTGTATTCTTTTTTTGATAAGATAAAATGATTAAACTCATTAAGATATTGTCCACAGGTTTAGTTCCCTGATTACATTTATAGCTTCTGCTTCAGGAAAACAAAATAATTCTATGTGTGTATATATAGCCTTATAGCATAATAAATATACTTAGTAATGTTTTTAAGCATCATTTTATTGGTAAAGAGCTGCACAGTCTTTATTGATGTAGTTAGTACAATAAAATTTTGTAACACAGGCTAATAAAGAAGCTCTATGTGAGCAGCATAACCCCATAAAGGCATTTCTACCAAATCACTCATTCTCTACTACTAATTCTCACCCACAGTAGGATGTTGCCCTCACAGCTGAGCAAGCAAAACAGTTTGTGGGACCATACACCGAGCCAGGTCAAGGAGCTGATTCAGCTGAAATACAACCCAATAGAAAAGGTATGGGTTTTTTTTCCTCCTCTGAGATGATACCGTTAAGCTGGCTTTGCTACTGAAACAAACCTACATAAAACTTGGCCTTCCTATTGAGATCTAAGATATTGCCATCTTTGATGACTGCTAAGGATTACCACCTTGATAACAGAGTCAGCAAAATGGCGTGTTTTCCACCCTCAGCCCAAATCACTGTCCATCAACTTAACGTATATTCCTAGCGAAGGGAAGTTTTGAGCCAAGGCAAAGGACTATGAACTATGCAGCTGCTGGTGCATGGACACACATTTCTTTCTGCTGCAGAAGCAATCATCTGTGGCAGAGGGCCAGGCTGGAAAATTGGGAGGGTTTGTGTTCTTGCATGATTTACTAGAGACTTCAGCCTCTTGCAAAGGGCTTTTTTTTAGCAGTTAGTGGTCTTGGAGGCTAATGCATGAGGGACAGAAGGACACATCAAGGAACTGGGAAAGGGAGTCAGTGTTGTGCTGAGGTACTGAGTCTTGAGGAGCTCCCTTGTGCATTGAAGCCTCAACGCCACTGCACAAAAGTAGCGTGAATATCCAACACAATCACGTCAGCTGGGAGAGCCTGGTTGCCCTTTCATGTCCTTTCCTTCAGTCTCTGTGAGATAATCAGCCCTGAAGAGCCACAAAGATGCCTGCTTTTCTTTAATCTCTCTTTTCCTTCTCCTCTTCTTCTCCTCTTTTTCTCCTACCTTAAAGCAGCATTAAGGGGAAACAGGAAAAAAAAAGAAAAAAAAAAAAAAGGACATAGCCATAGATAGAAAGGGCACAATAGTGATCACCCGGAAGGATAGATATGACTTGGAAAGACCAGTAAGGATACAACAAAAACAGCAATATGTAAGTAATAATAGGGACAATAATGTGATGATTCTTCATATGATCTTTTCATACCACTTTAATTTCTTTTTGCTTCAGGAAAGTTGCTTAATTTGCTCGGTAGTTGCCTGGCAAACCTGTTCAACGGGCCAGAAGGCATGAAACTGTAAAAAAATGATCGTTGGGACTAAGCATGGATGAAAAGTCTTGAATGTGGTATGGTCTTCCTCACTCCACTCACTCATTCACATGATAAGAGTTACAGAGGACTTGAGGGTGACAGAGCATTGGAACAGGTTGCCCAGAGAGGTAGTGGAGTCTCCTTCCCTGGAGATATTCAAAACCCATCTGGATGTGATCCTGGGCAATATGCTCTAGAGGTCCCTGCTTGAGCACGGAGGTTGGACTAGATGATCTCCAGAGGTCCCTTCCAACCTAAACCGTTCTGTGATCAGCAGAGGAGGAAAGGTCATAGTTTCTTGCATTGGTTCTTATGTCGTCGTTGCCTTACATCAAAAATACACACGATATTGATCTGGACTGGTTCATAATCTGTTGTTGCGAGTTTAAAACAGTTTATTACAGTGCAAATGTAACAATGACCTTTCATTTGAGTTACCTAATAAGAAGAGTCCACAATCTCAAAAAAAATAAAAAATAAAAAAAAAAGCCCCCCAAACCAGGCCTGTGTCACCAGCCAAAACAAAGGCATATACAAAACAAAGAAATTTGAAATACCTGGGTGGAGAACTTTACTTAGCATTGTTTGCATAGGCATGTGTACGTGTTAGAGTTGCCAGATATTCCTGAGCACAAACCCAACAGCACTAGTTTTACCCGGTTGCGCTGGGCTGTCTCATCTCTCTGGCGTGAACACAGAAACCTAAACTTTCAGCAGCAGAAACAGTGCTTGAACCCAGACTTTTGATCTGAAACTCAAACTGTCTGAGCTAAACCCAGACGTCTGACCAATCTAGCATGTGTGCATGAGTCTATATATGTGTAAAAGTAGGAGAGAGGCGGAAAAAGAGAGCAAGACACAGGGTGAATTACTCACCCTGCAGATAGAACAGGAAGCTGCAACCAAAATCTGTAGAAGTACATGGTGGTTGTATCTTAACAATCCATACAAGTATGGTCCTTGGAGAGACTCAGGTAGCTCACCTGCAGCTTTTTTGCTATTAATCTCATTTTGCCTTCCCCCACACAACTCCAGCTGCTTGCAAGGACAGAGGGCAGCCATTTTTTTGTTCAGAGATAGCTTCTTCTGTCCCTACAAGGTAAGCATGTGTCATTAACTAGTAAATGTGTTTCGTGGCACAGACAGCATTCTTGTGCCCAGCCAATGGATGGGTGTAGGAAGAAGTAGCAGGATCCCAAACTTCCCAGCTTGCCAAGCTTCAGAGTTTGCCTGAAGACTGTGGTGGGGCATAGTCTCACCGCAGAACTGTCTGCAATATCAGTTTGGGCTCTGGTATGGGCTTGGACTCATGCTCAAAAAATAGCACAGATCCTACCAAAACTCTGTTCCCTAAAGAAATCAAAGAGAGCTTTTGAGCTGCGGGGGAGGCTGAAAGAGCCTTACAGCTCTGAGTAAGGGCATCACCTTGTTTGATTCCTCCTTTCCTCTGCAGAGCAAGGCTTGATATGTTCCTTTTAAACTGGCACGATTACATTACAGTAATAGTTGACCTCATCACTTATTTCTCCTCCCTTTCACAATAACTTACAAATGCTCATATTTTAGCTAGCTGTTTGGAGTAACAGTATATTAGTAACAGTGGTGTGTAATTATTAATATTACTGTAATTATAATTCAAATATGATGAATATGTCCTGGACGTGAAATCCCAACAAATTTTATCTATACAGAGTGTCTGAAAAGTATTTTTATAATCAAGATCATTTAGGATAAAAATTATATGCTTTCATAAGGTTTAAAATATGCTTTTGCAATGTATTTAGAGTTGGTTGGAAATTGTCTAAAAATGTGGGTTTCCAATGGGAAATGCTATTTCTGCAAAAGTTAAATTTTTCACATGAAACAATTTTGCCAGTTTTCCTGCTTTCTGACAAAACCAATACACTGTTATATTTACAGATGTAGAAATATCTTTACCATTGAAGACAGTACAATTTGGGATAAGGACCCGGCACATGCAAGAACTGGCACATGGAGTATAATCGCCAGGGAGCTCTGTTCAACAGCGCAGTGTTAAACTAAGTCCAAATGAAACATTTGCCTTTGATGTGACAAACTGAAATACAATGTGTCTCTCCACAAATGTCAAAATGTTTCATACTACTTGAAAATAGTTAAAGGAAACATTCAGGAATGCATCAAGCACTTTCGTATACTATGATGCTTAAAATATATTTCTATTTAGTCACTTTTGTTTCTGAACGCAATAAAAATAATCACATCAGGTTGTGTGTCAGATCACAAGGTTACAATGTGAGCACTTAGATTATAAGTAACAAACTAACACACAGGATTCCCCCTGAATTCTCAAAATACTCATTTTGCAGGCGAAGCTTATAGACTTTAATTTCAATAAGATACATTGTATCCTTTGAATGCAATGAATAAATTGAATCCCTGATTTAAATCCAAAACTAATTTAATTTTAAATGAGTCATAAAGTCCTGATCAGTGTCTGTATATGTTCCATTCATACTAATTAAGTGCCATGTGGCCCTTGAATTTCTTGACATTTGCTTCTACTTTTAGTTAGGCAAAGATAGACTCCTCCTCTATAACCACCACTGAAAAGACTTTTATTACAATTTAATGTATGGCTTTCTTCTCAGTTTTTTTATTTATTTACTTATCATCTCGTCTTTGGATCTTCTGGAATTCACTGCATAGCATTACTAAAATGTGATACTTCCTCTACAGTTAGTTAATAAATATTTTAGATTATATTTGTTGAGTTTCATGAGAAAAAGGTCAGTCATCATTTGGATTCCTCACTGAAATGCCGCACATGTGCGCGCGCGCACACGCACACGCACACGCACACTCTGAAACGCCGCACATGTGCACGCACACACACACACGCAAACACACGCAAACACACACACGCGCGCACACACACACACACACACACACACACACACACAAACACGCAAACACTTTCTGTGCAGAAAAGAAACTTTGTTCCTGCTGCTGAATCTACTTTAACAAGCTTCAGCTTTAGCAAGCTAATATGGTTTTTAGATGTTACTAGCATGCAACTGAAACTAAAATAAGCACACGCGTGATAACCACCAACATGATCATTCACCAGGACCAGTTCTAAAAATAAAAATAGCTGTGAAATATCGCCCAGAGCTAGAATTTTTCTGTGTAACTTTTAAGAGATTTCTTTTAATTAAAGATATATTCTGTTGACTGAGATACTTTGATTAATTTTTGTGGATGTAAAAAAAAAATTTTTTTCAGAATGCAATGAATATCTTCTGCCAGATTTTAACAATATTGACATAAATAGCACGTGGGCCCCAAATAGATCATGCTGTGGCCTTTTGATAGCTACTAGCTACTTTTTAAAAGTTTCATTGTAACGCACAGATAGGCCTGATGGTTGTTTTCACATGTTTCACTCTAACAGAGGAACACTGATATCAGTGGGACATCTGACCCCAACTGCTGCACGGAAGAGAGGAAATCAGGTGCTATTTTCTGTCTCACTCTGTGTTTTGAATTGATTAAAATTGGATCTGCGATTTCTAGAATGGAAATCCTGCTACTCTTGGACTGCACTGGACACTTGGCAGAAGCCTATTTTGCTGCGAGCAAAGGGCAGCGGCAGAACCTTTGTGGACTGCTCGGAGGGATCCTCATTTGCCTGCTTTTAACAAAGCTTTTGTGAAGGGTATTCCCCCGGCACGGCTGCAGCAGCACGTCTGCAATGGAAACGCGCGCAGCAGAAGGTAAGCCTGCACGCAGGGCAGGTGAGGTGCTCTCAAGCCTTTGCCTACGACTATCAGAAATTGCGTGAAAAAAATGTCAGCGTGTATAAAAGATAGCAGGAAAGAATCCGGATTTTTGAATTAAAGGCAGTCTTTCAAAACTGGATTTTGAAACTGGTTATTTAAAAAAATTTGGTTTGCGGTGCTCCTTTAAAAAGAACCCCAAAATCTTAGCTCTAAAATCTTACATCGATAACACTGAAAGATTTATAAAAACTAAATGTGCTTTGCATCATTTATATCATTTACTGTTTGTATATCAACCTCAACAGCAAAAGCATAAATGTGTTTTTTATCAGTTTTAGGTTACGGTTCTTATCCATTAGTGCAGCAATACTTGTATTATTCTTAAATAAACCTCAGGGTTATGTTTGCCTCTATTTTTACATTAATGGATATGAACGAAAATATTTCCACTTTAGTAAAACCTGCCTTTACCACAAATTTTTTAGATAAAATCTGGGCCAAAATGATTCGAGGCTGTTCTTTTAACTGGCATCAACATTTTCTGGACATGCATAATATTCTATTTTATTCAGAAAATCCTACTAAAATAACAATAACAAGGACTGAGACTGCTGCTGCTAATGCATTAGATACAGATACGCTGCTGAAACGGAGCTGCCTACGAGTCCCTCATCTGAAATGCCTGTTGTTGTGAGCATTGCCACTCGTAACGAGCAGTCCAGATTCTCAATTATTTTATATATACATATATAATTTAGTAGTCTCTTAAGGGACATAGTGAGCCCCTTAGTTTGGAAATAAAACCAGACAGGAAAACAAAACAAAACAAAACAAAAAATTTAAGCCCCCCCCAAACTCGATGGAAATTGTATTGTAGAGAGGCATCCTCTAAGCGATCGGGTCTTTTTTAATAATAACTGCAAATACAGCTACAGTTCGGACTCTACTCTCCAGAGCGAGTTTTCCCACAGATTTCAATGAGAGATTTTACATTATATCTAACATATAACACTTTGTGCCCGTCTGACAAAGTGGCATAAAAACATCCTCTACTGTGCTCAATGATATTCATATTTCTTTATCTGAGAGCACAACAAAGGCTGTATTGTGTAACGCCGCTCTCTTCAGAAGTGGAAGGAAGGCTGCGCACAGGCTTCCAGAGCGGTCCAGAAATACGGTGCTGACACCAGCCTGGTTCCTGTAAACAGGAAATAGAACCAGGATGTAAACTGGACTGATTCCATATTCAGTTATACTCGGCTAAAAATAAACAGGTTGACTAGAGGTAAGCAAGCCAGTTCTCTCTGTAAGCTCATTTTCAGGCTTAAACTTTTCGAGAGCTGATGGAGAGAAAAATTCAAATTAAAAGAGTCTGAGTGCTGATATATCAGTATTTCTCTAAGGAGATTTCAGTCACATCCAGCCGGGCTACGCTGGTTAAGGAGAATGGAGCTGTCTCCTCCCAGAGAAAGCTAAGAGGACTTGGCGATGAAGGCTAAGAAAAGGCACGACCGCTCTATAGATGTATCAAGGGATTAAAAAAATAAGAAGTTCTACTTAAGCTAAAAGACAACCTTGTCACAGGGATAAGTAAATATATTGACTGTGAAATCTGGAAATGATTAGGTGCCTCATTCTGAGAAGAATAAGGGGTTCTAAAACAATCTCTGCGGGAGGGACAAGCAATAGCTGGGTTTTTTTCGGTAAGGAATTACGTAATGCTGTTGCCCGCAAGACTGTTGGGTGCACTTCAGCCAGGAGATCCCCAGAGTCAGGTGTTCCTTATGAAGTCTCCTATTTTTGACCATGCTTCTGTCAGAAGAAAAGCCTTTCAGGAAAGGAACAATTCTTCAGAAGGTATTCAGGTGACAGCAGAAATCTGCATGACAGACAAACCATTAGTGAAGTTTCCCTTCTGCAGAAATCTGTTTGCAGCGCTGTTCTAAACATTGCATTGCCATGCATATAATGTTCCTAATGAAAACAGAGAAAAAACGTTGGCAAGTCATTTAGCTTTTGTTACTTTGCTGTTTCTATCAGATGTGCCAGGTGCCATACTACAGGCTTGAAGCATGGTGAGCTATTAGTGACACAGCAAAAAAAGGTATAACAGCTTCATGGATAGCCGGAATCAATGAGACTGAAGTTAGGCACAACTGTGCCTCACATCGTGGAGTAGAGGAACACAGGATAAGAGCTGGAAAAGAATAGCAAAGGTGGCCAAGCCCAAGCTCCTCCCACCATGTGCAAACATAGTGGATAATCCTATTAATAACACTGTCAAGTGTCATCTCAGAATAAATCATAATGTTTGCCTCCACTGGTCCCACTGTAGGACTGTTCCAAAACCTCACTGCTATAATGTTAGGAGGCTTTCCTTATTTCCAACCACTGTTTTTCAAGGGTATTTTTTCCTGTGCCAAGTAACTCTTCCTCCTATTCATCTTAGTCTTTGTTTTACTATATTAGAAAAGCTACAATTTTGTGCTCCTCTTATACCATGAGTTCCTAATCATTCCTAACAGACCTTCTCCGCATCCGGAGAATTGAATTAATTTTTTCAGTTGAACCAATCTTTCTTGAATAAGGATGATTAGAACTGGGTAAAGTTCCACATCATATTTTATTGAAAAACAGCACTAAGGTCAGGGATGAAGGGAAAAGACAAAATGAGTAGGTGCAATTTCCAGGGAAAAGCAGAAAGCAGAGGAGGAAGCTTTTGGTTGAAGTCTGGCTGCTTATGAGCAAGTAAGAGCAAACTAGCATGGCACCTGTAACACCTACTCTTGACACCTGAGAAGAGCAGGAAGGAAAGGCCACAGGAGGAAAGGGAGTTATCCTACTGGGTAGCCATCACCATTCCTACCATACACCATATATTGCAATAGGAATAACAGTGCAGATATCACTAAGCTGTAGATATTCATGGCATATTCCTTCAACAGCTAATCAAGGCAGTGGCATTGCCAGGGACTTTGAAACATCGATATAGGACCTAGCAACGAAGAAAGTCCACCGACCCAGCATTCAAGCAAGGTTAGCTCTTCAGAAAATGGTCTATATGATTCAGTGCCATTCAGGTGGAATTCAATGGATTTCTTGGTACCTCAGGTCTGCTGGGAAAGCTGGATACATGAATAAATAAGTTGCCCTGCATTTTCTCCCTGAAAACTTTCTTAAAACCCTGCAGGCTGTGGAATGAAGAACACTAAGCAACAGCTAGGCCAAAAGCCAAAAATCTAGGTTCAGGGGTCATGGCTGTGAAGCTGCCTTGAGGGACTGGTTGTGGGCCTGGCTCACTAGAGACTACTAAGGACTTCCCAATGCCGTGGGCAGAACATAGACAGCTGCCATGAGGAAGAGGAGTCGCAATATAATAGAGGTGGTGCACGGTCTTTGTCATGTGCAAGCCTAGACGGCTCAGGATTTTTACACCACCTAGAAGCTGGCAAGATGATTGCAACATGTAAACGCAGACCGTGTGACAAAGGCCCGTACAGGCACAGTACTGGACTGGGTTGTTTGTCCTGTGGCTACAACCTGATGAGCTAACAGGAAGATTTAGCTGTCTAGAGCCTTTCTAGACAGCTAATGCATGGAAAATGAATCCTGCTCTGCCTTCATAACATGAGTATTAATGAAGGTAACAGATAAAGCTACTAAATGATACTGTGCCCAAGACCGATTTTTGAGAAATCCCACTTGGAAGCAGCACCCCAGAAGATCATCTTGTAAGACCCTCTTGTTTTTTTTCCATTTAGACAGTTTTGTTTTCACCTTACCATTCTTGCAGTAATCCCCATCTCCTTACCGTAACTAGTATCTCAGTAAAACAGTTTATTAAGGTTAGATTTACCTCCTCTTCTTTGTTTTTTGTTTTTAAAGAAAAATATTGGCGTTGAAGCTCAGCACAGATTTTTGTGACCTTTGAAAACATTTTTGACATAAAATTTTGGCTTCTCTAAAGGGATAATTACGATGGAATATTTTTTAAAAGCTGATTCCTGTTTGCTGGCATCTGTACTCACCTTTTTCTATTACATTT